GCACGATCACGGTCGATGTAGAATGTGCATCCAGATAACCGCTTCCATATATAGGTTTCTATGAATTTTCCTGGTACGATTAAAGATTTCAAATGGATGGTGCCTGATTTTTTTTATTTTTTACAGTTGTTCTATCACACCGCTACTTTGTGTTCCCGAATCATGATGCAAAGTGCAAGAGCGAATAATCTAAAGCCAACAATAATTTTACTGTTTGTGCTAGCCACACGAAACCCATATTTCTACCAATTTTCTTTCGTCTGTTATGTCAATGAGGATTTACATCGTAGTACCAGCCAAAATCACCGGATCATTTATTCCAATCCCATGATTCTGTCTTTAAATTAACTACTGGAAACGTTTTCCATTCATTCATTCAAAATTCATTCTGGTTGCTACGAATCGATTATTTATTCAACTTTTAAATCGTGTGATCGGGTCAGTTTGTTTCATTCATGACCCGAATTACGTTTCATTGTCAGACATTGTCAGACAATTTCTGTACCTCTTGGTCCTAAGTAATGATTTATTTACTCGTATGCGCACATACACCTAAATGAGGTAAAGTACACACACACACACACACACACACACACACACACACACACGACTACATCATTCAACTGCTGTTATTTTTTTGATTGTTGGCATTCAATCGTAATCTGACTGTTTATCTCAACCGCCACCACCCGGCTCATTATTCGATCTCTCTTCCCCCCTTTTCGTAACCTCAATCGCCACTTGTGTGCTTACACACACACACACACACACACACACACACTATTCACTTGTCAGCGTTTGGCTGCCACATTGTCCGAGCTGAAGCATTGTCAGCTGAACATTGGTCAGTTGCGTGCTCAAATGGATCAAATTGCCACAACTGCAAATCACAATTCGGCATCACAAACACAATTCGGTGAGTTGTTTTGGTCCGAAGGATTTTTCGTTCGCCTCAATATCTGCCTCGTGTTTCTGTGATCTCTCTCTCCCTCCCTCCCTCCCACCGTGTGTGTGCCTCCATGTTGCTCTCTCTCTTCACTGCTTGTTTACTGTACATGTATACGCGTACTTTGAATTTCTAAAGACAAAACTATAGATGGAGGGATAGATAAAATTGAGAATGAGTATAAAGACAGGTTTTCACAGCAGCATAAGCAGTACACGGATTCGGATACATTATTTTCCTCACCGATTTGTCGGTCCCATCTTGTTCACGAAATAGATCCAGTTATACGTTTCCCTCGTATCTCTAATTTCGGCTTGTTCTCTACCCCCCAAAGTTGAATGAATTTTCGATGTTTGTTCAAATGCGTGATACCACTCCGTTGTTTTGATAGAATCGGTCAGAATGGAATTCATTCGATTCTGACATTACCACCCGTTTCCCCTCTAATTTTTCCAGACCGTCTATCCACCTGAATGAATTTATTACAAATGGGTTCAATGTGTGCGGAGCTGTTTTGCAAATTTTGACCTAGTTTGGACTGAAGTTCACATATGAAACATTTAATACATAATGTGTTGATAACTGGTACTCTGTTTGAGAAGTTCTGATTTCGTTTCGTGGCATCTGAACGACCGAATGATTTAACAAATCGAAAACACACTGTTGAGTAGAATATTCAATTGCGGTTCGTTTGCACCGTGGTTCGGCGACATTGGCAACTCAGCGCTCCATCCCCCCTTTCTCTGATGTAATGTAAAAGGGTTTGTGCCTTCAGACATGCATCTTTCAACTCTCATTCTAAGTCGACAACTTTCTCATAGCCAGAAATTCATTCATGCACCCCGTTCTGTCTCGTCTCTACTGCCTCAGACACATGTTTTTCATGGGGTACCGATGAACGATCCGGATTGGCCGAAGCGTGTGGACTATGCAGAATGCTAAGACAACCATCGTTGGCTAAAGATTTAATTAGGTCAGATGGGGTTGTTTTCTATCTTCATCGTCGGTTGAACCGAAAAATAAATCAGGTTTATTGGGCATAAAAGAACTTATATAATGTAATGGAACAACAAAACACACCTAAGACAAAAACCATTCATATTGGGATGTGATTTGTTGATTTAGTAGAATGAAACACGGATCATCACTGTTTGTCTCTGAAATGTAGCTTTCACAGTACACAGCATTCACCGGTCTTCACTTTCAATGCATCTGTTGATTCGCTGTACTACACTCATTTAGAACTTTCTGGCTTTCCCAAGAAGGATGTTTTGCGAAGCAATTGTGATGTTTTTCGACAGCTTATATACATCCCGCGAAAAACGTATTGCACCTCTCCCCCTATATTTTTGAATCATCTCTCCCGTGTGCACGATCACCACTGTTTTTGATGAGCTTGACGACCACCGAGTTCAACACGGAACTACGGAATTTCATCAAATCATCTTATTTGTAAAGAAACGATTTCGGAAAAAAAAATTTTTCACCGTGACAAAAGTATTTCACCCCTAATGGAATTTGCTCGGCGTTAAACCGAGTGCATTGACCATTCTGTTTTCCAATTTCGACATACCTCACCATATTCTGTTGAAGATTTAGACTAATATCAATGTTGCTGTTATCTTGGTCTTTAATCAACATTGCCACAAATTCCTGTTTTGTGATTTCATTTTTCGCTCTTTAGTACATCATTCGGGTAGGAATAACCCAATTTTAGTAGTTCCACACGGCGAGCCCATTAAAATTAAAATTCTTTCCTTCGTTCAAGTAGTCGAAATTTCTTTCTTGTTACCTTGAGAGAGGGAGAAAACAATTACTGTGATATGGTAATAATTCTTTCAATCTTTTCAGTCGCTATAACGTAGATCAATCTGGTATTTGTACAATAAAGTCTTGATAAATACAGGGGTTTAATGGACAACAATCAGGGAAGGTGGAAAACCAGTCTCACGGTAATTTGACTGATTGCGTCAGAAACGTTGGTGCCCACAAAACTGCATTACGTAACTTGATTAACATCGCTTCGCTGAAAGCTGAGAGCATGGAATTCATGTTACGTATTTACGGCTCGGGCTGGAAAAGACCAAGTGGAGGTCAACAGATGACGTGGAGACGAGGCATGATGAGATGCACAGAGCCATTGGGTAGAGTAGGTGTCTCACGCCTTCCAGGTTGGTGTCCCAAAGACTCCACAGCCGGTTGGTTGGAGACATTGGAGGATATGGCAGCGAACCGACAGCGGTGGCGTTCTTGTCATTTTTTATCAGGCTAGAATGTTTGAAACGGCATGTATGCAGAGTTCAATTGTGTACTCTGTGTGTTAACCATAGAGGTTCACGTTCTTCTCCCTCCCTCAAAATAGGTCCAATCCCTGTCATCATTTAATATTAACACCAACCTTGTATGCATTGCGAGTTTGGCAGCGATCAGTGAAGTTTACCTCACCGTCTTTCGCTGTACGATGATGATGGCTCGGACGCAAAAGTAGGTCAACGATAGGTCCACTTGTCATGACTTGTTTTACGATTGATGATGCTGGATTTCTCTTATCAGTTTGACATCAGCAATTGTGCTTCGTCGTTGACTGTTATAACTATTTAGGAATGAGTTCGGACATCCGTTGTGACAGCGGCTGATGTGAGTGTCACCGCAACTGCAAGTGAACCGATCAACCGATCAGGGTTGCAATATAGTTCAGTGTTCACAGTTAGGTTGAAATAATAACTGTAACCGAACTATAATCAGTTAAGTGAATGGATTACTTAATTGGGTCTGATCTGTTCCTCTGATCCCCTTTGTGTTGCCACCCTCCGTTGTCTTCTATACATGTAGAGGATTGGGACTAAGTGTGGATTTTTCAACAGTGAGGGTTATTGTCCGCAGTTCTATGTTTGTCAAATACCCTTCTTTCCTGATGTACAGTGGATCGTCAGAAAGCGGAACTGGAGGAGACAAAAGCCACATTGGATGCTCAGAAAGAGGAGATCACACGACTTAATCGTCTGCTGAATCAATTGCTTGGAGCGGATCCCAGTGAGTTGTTAGGTATCATTCTTTGTCGCATTTTATTCCTTCCGCAGTATTCTTTGCTCGGTGACTTCTTCACACCTGTTCCCCAAACAAAAACGATGGTCGTTTAGCTCCCGACTATCGTCCAGATGCATATATCCCACGAACGCGCTCGTCCTACTATTCTGCCGATGACAAAGGTTATATCAACGGTGATTCTTACTGATACTCGGTGTGATTAGAAAACCTAAGTTCCTTTCGAACTCCTGTCGTTGAAACTGCACATCGATCGAAAATTCTCTCGAAATTATCTTTGTACACATTCGCGGACTCTCGACGTTCATTTTTGTGTGTGGCAAGCGACCGTTTACCACGGTTATTTCATACTCGGTGAAACAATAATCTGAACGTCATCCTCCCTGAAAATTAGCCGACAATTAAAGCTGATCGACTATTGCCGGTGTTCAACTCCTCCAAACCGGCTACAGCTGAGGTCGTAGAACCGCCGTTTCGGTTTGGTCAAGTAGAAGTTGTATTTACTTTCCTCTCGTGGGATGATTTTTCACGTAATCATGGATCATTTTATAAGATTTCGGAAATTTCTGCTTCCCTGTTTCCAATTCGAGCAGACATTTCACCGAATGTATAACAAGTATATCAGACGTGAAAATTTTATTTTTTCTTTGAAAGCATGTTGATAGAGCTCCTGAATGGGAGATAAGAATGCGATGAAAAAAACAAAGCTCCAGCGATAACAGAAAATGATACGGCCAATTTCATAGGCCCCGTCGATTGTCGAAGTAAGGTTGTTTCACAGAATCTCAAACATTCCCAGTGATATCTTTTGTTGCGCACTCTTGTATAAAAATTTCTTATCAATGGAATTAGCATCTGATTGTATTACGATAAAAACTCGGTTACACATTTTTATCACTGCATTTTGTGTACATTATCAATAAAAATTCCCTAAGATGTTAGCCTTTTCTCAAGGGGTTTTGAAGGAATAAATTTAGTAATAAAAAGCATTTTGTGGATACGAAGCAAAGTTGACACAAACTAAAATTCCGATAAGAATGATCGTCCGTTCAGCTATAAACCGTTTTCTTAGCAATATCATTATTGCTTTTATAAGTACTGTTCCTATTAATACCATTTGGAAAGTTATTTTTGTCGTGTATGTGATCATCAAAGCCATCATTTTCTAATAGCTGTCCAAGAGTAACAGTCCTGTCATATAGCTACGGGTAGTAAGGGTGAGTAGACTGCCTGATTGCGAAGTCTGTCATGTGATTCCGGACACTGACGGTGTGTGCACCCGTGTGTGTGTGTGTGTGTGTGTGTGTATCTGAAGCCGAGGTCCACCGGTTTTGGTCTGTTTCGAGAAAGAGGTGATAGATAACGACGAATTTCTTCCTTTTTTCTGACTCTTTTCTAACATCCTCTCAGGATGGTCAACTCCCACCCACCCAACCAACAAACGTAGTTTCCTTTAGAATAAGGATCACTGTCTCGTACGAAGTCCATTTTATTCTTCTGTGGTAGGCAGTTTGTCTGTCACCCGACTTAGCACCACGCCTAAACCACCGGGGACCGTTATTTTTTTCTTCGCCAGTCCAAGACTTAGGTTACCGATTCCCCTAACCGAACAAAATATCTTCATGACTGGCGATCATCCGTTTTGCCGCCCAACCCTTAAAGATGATCAACGCAAAAAATAGTTGCATTTTGTTTTCACTGTTCATACTGCACTTTCTATGTAGGTTCGTTTCCCCAGATACGACCCCAATTTACCCTGTTCACATAGAAGAATTTCCATTCGGTCATCTACTACTTATTCTTTTTGTGAAAATAAATTGTTGTTTTTAATTAAATTTCTTCGATTATGTTTTGTGAATCTCTTCCTCATTGGCTATCTGCTTTAGTATTGGAAAACCCTTTATTACTCGTTCTTGAACGTCTAATTTTTTCTTCCTATCCTTTTCATCTTCCTCCTCCTCAAGGTGATGCTTCTCCTGGTGATTTAGCTCAACTGCAAGCCGGATTGATCGATCTGAGTCGGAAGATGCAATCGGATGCTGCTCGACCAGTGCATTTATTGGATCCAGGTACGTCCGATTTTCCTATTCTGATTCCACTAATTCACATTTGTTCAACCTATCCAAGTGTCTCAATAGGTCCTGCTTTCTATCTGGTTTTACTATACACTGCAGACAAAACCACTTTTGTAGATCATTAATGTCTTGGGTTGTAACGTGCAAACCTCTATGTAGAAAATTTCTTAGGTACTGTTGAGCCCGAATAAAGTTATGAATCAGGGCTTAAAACTCGTGTTTTGCGTTAGTCGAGTAAGATTGATTCACGGAAGTCTTTCACAAAACGAATACTCCTTTGCCGGTCTCACTACTTTGAACTCAAGCAAGGTTTTTAAGGGAATAATCTAAGCAAATAAGGTACCCGATTTTGATGAGAAATGGTAGGCAGGTTGCACTCTCACCGAACTTGTTACAGCATCGATTCGGTGACATTCTACCATCATTAGACTTTACGTTTTAGTATTCTTTTTCTATCCAATGGGTCTTCATGATTGAAGCATCTATTCATTCTCTTTTATGTGGTACCCCACAGTATTTACTATGATGAGATCACAAGTACATTTAGATTTGTCTCAAAGATTACATGGTGTTTTACTTTCCTCGTTAATTGAGTGGCAGTATGATTCGAAGCTTCCCATTACAAAATTTAAACTGATGGTTCAAACGCACGATCTCATAACCCGAAATATGACAATGATTGTGATTGAAACTACTCGTTTACCACAATCCTGTTTATCTGCTTTGTTCTGAAGGTCCTCTATTTTTACAATCACATTTTGTTAACGGTGAGGGTGGTTCATTGCTCCTACTGGGTTTACAGAATTCACCTGACTAGTCAAACTGCTTGTTTCCTCATTTCAATAGTACGTCGCACTCAGTCCATGCATACCGGTCTGGCCCCAGGCCCAGCTGGTCCTTCGCGGATACCTGATTTTCTAACTCCAAATGGAACTTTGGCAGCTCGAACTACGTCGGGCAATTTGTATTGCAATGTGCCGGAACATCACTACTTGGAAGACTGTATGGACCAGTTACAGACTAAATTGCAAGAATCACAACTACTGGAAACGGAACAGCAAGTACGTATTGATTTAGCGGTTGGTTTGTTATTGCATTCACCATACAAATTCGATCATTTATCATTTGCAGCCTCCTTGTGAATTCGCTTATTCAATTGTATTGCAATAAGAAGTATGTAAGTATTATCTAAATTATTTTCTTATAGTCTGTTTGTGCTTACTTTTGACAAGACTTAAATCATGGCATGCCGTCATCGTAAAAACGAACTTAGGTTGCTATGATTACCACTTGACCGACACCTCAAACTTCGATTGCCGTGGCGAAAGTAGTTCACCATTCATCATACAATCCTTCTTGCATTCTCTCCTCGTCAACTATAGTCGCGGTTGAGCACTTAAAACATTCCCACAAAATCTCGAAACATGAGTTTCAAGGACAAAGCCCCTGCCTTTAGACCGTAAGATCTGTGATCACCATCTTGATCAAACAAATCCACTGATGGAGATATTATTTTGCGTTGGTTTGTACCAGCCGCAAATCGCTCACCATGTTTCAGATTTTACAACCGTTAAACATGCATTGTCATGCACCGGTTTTGGCTGCTGTCTTTTGGCTGCCCATTTTGATAAAAGATCAGAACGAAAATTGGAATGTTCAGAGCAGAGTCAAGGTGAAGATAAATAACTCATGCAGACGGAGGTTGCAAGAATAATGAGTAGAGGCACGAGCGCCACTATCTTCGACACCCAGCTATATCACTCAGTGCCTCTAAACACCGGTTAGTATGATCTCGGGGTTCCCGTTCAGGAAGCCTAACGGTGTGAATCGGTGTCCTGGTTAGGGGTTTCACACCCTCATGCCAGGTCCTAGCTTGACTGCCCTTGACCTTTTTCCAACCACTTCCTGTCTCGGTAGACATCGCGCGCCATGGACTGGTGCATCATAGTTGTACAGAAACCAGGGGCACATTTTTTGTTTCGGCCCTAAGCGATTTTCTAAAATCTTTAAGTCCTCCGTAGTTCGTTCGCTGTCTAACGTGTACTGGTTCATTGGTTGTCCGTTCGAATCCCAGCACCATTTTATCCACGTCATGAGAAAACCTTGGTTCCACTGAGAGAAAAAACATTCAATATTTTATCGAACGATGGACCAAACTCGAATGTCCTAAAGTGCTAGATGATCTGTGCCATTTTGTGATCGAGCCATGGAAACCAACACCTTGTCTTCGATCTAGTTTTCTCATTTTGGTGTGCACACTGCGTCATATGAATACGCTGCTTTTGTGCACCAACACACACGCACACATTCAGACTTATCGCTGATTTCGAACCAAACTCCAAACCTGCAGTTTTTCCGTGTTTACACTTCTCTCGAACTCTCAGTTTAGTGTCAACGAGATTTTGCCTTTCCAGATGAACCATGCTTAACCACAGAGTCGGACTGTACGAACAATCATCCGAGTAACTATGTTCATCGTCTCAACTACCCACAAGTCTTACATTCACTGCTTTTGTCTTGCAAATGGTGAGAATATGAGTAGAGTAATTTTCGTACAATCCGTACTTATTTCTGAATAACCGATGAAAACCCACTGTTGTCGTCCGATCTTTTGTGACTTACCGTTTTTAACTCTCTGCTTTTTCTGCTTTTCTCCTTTCTTTCCTGGTGTTGAGCATGCCTACCATATGGAAGAGTCATTGAACATAAACTGCCTTTTTAATGACCTCGACTTGGAACAAAACGTCCGGATGGTAAGCGAGGATGGTACTGCACAGGTCGATACAGTCATCATGCACTGTAGGCGTTACACACACCCAAACATTCAGTTGGATGGGGTTTGGGTTTGTGGTATTGTTAGTGATGGTCGGGATAATAATTATGGGAGACTCTCTACCCATTGCCCCCCGTATATCGGCTCTGGTCTGGAAAACACACACACTTGGTCTGCATCAGTTGAATGGTAACGGGAGTTGGAAGTTGCAGATGCTTAAAACGGCTCTTGCTCTCATAAACCTTTGTCGGATGCATTCATCGAGCGATTTCTGGGGGAAAAAATCAGACGCTAGACAATTGGGTATACGCCCGCGTCTAATTTCGCGTGTCTCTTTCACGTA